GACATTTTTGACCTATTTCTCGTATTATGACTAACTTTAGTTGATGTTGAGAGGTTATTTTCAGTATATAAAAACTTATTGGCAAACAACCGTCGATCATTCAAATTGTAAAACTTAAAAGAAATACTAATCGTACAGTGCAATTCAAAAATGTAATTTAATTTTTAATTCAATTTTTGATTTTAATTTTTTTTTATTTTTTGTAGTGTAATGTAAATAAAATTTCATTTTTACTCATTTTTTAATAATAATTTGAATTTATTTAATAAATGATGCCTTTTTTGGTATTTTTAGGGCATTTTTAAGAGTTTTTAGGTCATAAATGTATTTTTTGAAAGAGCATTTTTTTGATATTTTTAGGGCATTTAAGTCCGAGCCCTAATTATTAATTACAAAAAGAACATTGTAAATTATTTATTTTCTTTGAATTTTATAAAAACTCAATATATTAATATTATATTATAAGAATATTATGAGCAAAATATTTTGTAATATGATATTGAATTCAAGTATCAATTTTTAAGCTGTTTTACTGTTATACAGTGATACAGCTATTTTAATTTATGCTCGCTGTATATACATTTAGTTACATCTCACAAAACAGGAATTCATTATATAAATGTTAATATTTCTCAAATATAAAAGCATAAAAGCTAATCTAAAACGGATTAAACTACAACACGAAAAATAAATCTAAAAATGTATTTTTTATTTTGTATTTTTGTTTTTCAAATGCATCATCATTTTATAAATTTAAAACTTATATATAGTAAAATAACGATTTCTTAGTATTCTTTAAATAATACAGTATATTATATTATACACTATAACATGATTTAAGACATAATGGTTTTTATATTATATATTACAGTAAATATCGGACGAAAGTAATGGAAGTAAAATATTTAAAAAAAATATAGCTACAATTAATTTGATTATTAGTTGCTGATATCGTAGGTTACCAAAAAAAATTCAAAAATGCATATTATACAGCTATAACATTTGAACGGGTATAGAACTACTTCTTATATTTTTATTTACAGAGGGAAAGAGGGATATTTTTTATGCTATGATATAGAAGATTTTAATAATAAAATATTGACGATAATTTTTAAAAGTTTCGGTATTACGTTCCTATCAGGGACGCACGGCTTTGCGAAATTACCGTATAGTTACCCATCTTAGAACTAATTATCGAAGGAGTGGCTTAACCGGAATCAGCCGTTCAGAGACAGATCGATGACTCTACCACGTCATAACAAGATAATTAAAATCTATTAAGGTTCCTTCTATTGGATACTATATTATTTTACATTATTATTCATTAGAAAGTGGTTTTACTGTTTACACTTAGATATTGTAATTGTTTTGCTTAAAGCTGTTGGAGCATGCTATATTTTGTATGCCTTTAGACCAATAAGAGAAGATTAGTTTTAGTACTTCCCGATTAACTACCAAAATTACCACATTAGTATATACATCAATGTTTTGTTACAAAAATGATAATATTGTTCGCATTAGAGCGAATTTACGGGGAAGCTTATACAATATACTTCCAAATTAATATGCGATCTATAATTTTAAAAACGAAGTACATAATAAAATATATAAATAATGTATTAAAATTATATCATATATTTTCTCCAATATCCATATAAATAAAATATAAATTATAAATAAAAATAAAAGCGTATGGGTATTGTTATTTGAAATGTACTAATATATTTAGGATTGGTTTCAATTAATAATAGGTACTTTGTTATTATTTTAAGAGTATCAACCACAAATAACAATTTAATTTTTATTCTTTCTAATTTAAATAAATTATTTTATATTAGATTAACAGCATCAGTTTTTGGTAAAATTTATCAACTAAGAAAAACCACTTTACGAGCCAAAACTATAGAAACGATATTGTACAGAAAATTTCAAGGAAATCTATCAACTAAATTACTAAATTGTTGAACATGAAGAAGTAGCAAAAGAACAGTTGGCAAATATATTGGATGTCAATATTGAACCATCTGGATTGATGGTAGATATTGAAAAATTTTACTTAGCTGCCTAACCAGATGGACACATCGGAGATGATGGATTAGTAGAGGATTAGTAGAAATAAAATGTCCAAGTGCCAAAAATGTGTCTCCAAAAAAAAACAAAAGATAACAATATAATAATTTATTATGAATTAAAAAATAATGATTTACATTTAAAAACAAATGCAAATTATTATTATCGAGTTCAAGGTGCATTACATATGCACAGAGAGATTATTGTTATTTTTGTATTTGGACTCAAAAAGATAAATTCAATTTCTAGTTTTTTTATACATTTTAAAATAATATTTATAATTATAATTATTTTCACAAATATAGGTATTTTTATTTGAAAAAATATTGGGAGACGATGACTTTTGGGCCAATTCCATGGAGTCCCAATTAACATCATTCTATATGAATAATTTGATACTAGAAATAATTAATTCAAGATATGACCGTGAATTGCCCATTAGAAATGGTTTATAACTCCAATGCATAAAATATATCTTTTTTATTATTTAATTTATATATTTTATTATTTAAATTAAATAAATTACGCAAGAATTATTAATAATTTGTGCTTAATTTTCAAGTGTTCAACTAGAATTATTTGAAATATCATTACATGTGTAGGTGTTAATAAATGATAAAATATTGTACAATGTAAATTTTGATTACTATCGTAGTTCCAAGAATTCGTAATCGATGGGCGCGGCAACGCGATAACGGAATACACACACTAATGTCCATTTACTACTCACACGACACAGTCCAAATGTACTAATCATATAAAATGCCTAAATATTACTCCTTAAAACATGCTATGCTTCAACAGCCTTAAATAATAAATTAATAAATACGCCTGATATATTTAAGGATACTACACAGTGAACATGTGTTTAAAAACTGTTCCATATTGCTACAGTGTTACGCAATTTAGACTTGAAATGAATTTAAAATTAAAAATATATATACACATTGTATATTATACAAGTTAAGAAAACAGATGTATTTACTCGCAAAAATTTTTTTTAAATGTTGGTATTTGTTCACACTCTTTAAAACATTATGATTACATATTAAATATTACATTATTACAATGTTGTGATTTCCAATGCAATTTGTTAATTATCTATTTAATTGACGTATTAATATGTAAAAATAAATGGGTTATTGATTAAAAATATTAATATTTACCAATCACATAAAATACAGGACGATGACAATCAACAGCACTATTTGCAGTTATGGTCCAATATGCGACCTATACCCTGATTTACGGTCCAATACGCGACTACGTCATAAATATAGAATACAAATAATTTTAACTAACCTTTTTTCATTCCTCTTCTCAGTGTCGTCAATAAATGTATTGTTATAAAATGTCTTTTTTATATCGATCAAAAAGTTTGATTCGATCTTCACCACTCTTCTTAGAGTTGTCTATCTAGTAAAGGAGAGGTCCCATTCTTTTTAATATTATATTTGGATATTTTAACTCTCCATAAGCTTTCAATTTGTTGAGTGTGTGCTCCTGTTTCCGGGTCAATAAAAATTCTAAATGGTTAACTGTTTGATGAATATGTTCATGATGATTTAATGATGAGTACGCTCCCCATTGGTCACTTTAAATCATCGTTCAAGTTTTACTTCATTTTTAATAATTTGTAAGAGTTTTATGGTCCCAAAATACATAAATAATATTCCCATAAATAGAATAAAATGCCCATAACGACATTAACCGCGGTAATGAAACATGTAGATCAACACAATCTTGTCGATAGGTCGAGTAACATTTGTAGGTCGCATATTGGATCGATATCCTATTTGCGGTCGTTATTGAGGTAGGGTTATACTTTCTCCTTGGAAAATAAAAGCTCACATTAACATTACCTACCTTAACATTTCTTTGACTCTATTCTTTCTTTTTTGTCCAGCTACGTTTTCGTATCCTTCTCTCGAAATATGAATTTTCACTCAACGTGGAAGTTATTCTACAACAAAGAGCTTGTTTGCCTTAACGAATAGAAAAATCTGATACATGATATGTGATAAAGAAATCAACTGGAATGAATCAACTCTTCCAGTTGCTAAATTCATAATACAAATATGTTAAAAACATCAAAAATCTTTATGTTAAGTTAATATTGTTTAAAGCATAATCATAATCAAATTGTCTTGATTTAAAAAATATTATGTTTCATTTCTCCACGTAAACCGGTAAATTGTTGAGGATGGTTAACGATATGTTTGAAGTGACAATCGTTTACTTTTGACTCAAACGATGTAATCTATACACATTTAAAAATATTTTGTGAATAATAAAAAAAACCATTTTCGTCTGTATAATATTTCTATGAATGTAAAATTAATTACTGTTAAACGTATTGAAATTAATAAAACTATTGACTCAATTACAGATAAAACTGTTCCATCACAAAAATTATTATTTAATTTAATACTTTTGGAAATAATGATTATTTACTAAAACGATTTTAATACACAATAATACTTAATAATGAGTAATGACTTTTCATGAAAATGATCCTTGAGCATGAATTGTTTGCTATTTCAGGGGAGAGGGTTGAATCTCTAACCCCCTCCCTCTTGCGTTCGGGACTGTTTATTTTTGAACCTTCATTTGAAAAAATCAACAAACCACTCCGGTTTTCGTGGTATTATGAACTAATCGTTAACTTCGAGAAGACTGTGTGTGAACGTCATATTATCGTGTGTATGGCTTAGTGTCAACGACGAGATATGAGGATTTAAGTCGAACGACAATGTATAATTAACAGTAAAATAAAAGTATTTATAGTTGTAGTCAAAGTACAACTACGGATAAACCGTAAATCCTAACGCAAAAAATTAAAATGCCGCCGGAAAACGTGCGTGCACAGTGGCGTATGCGTGACAACATTTATTCTTTTCAGACGGTAGTCTCGCCGTGGTTTGTTATTCCATGATACTCGGCGTCGACTGTTCCGTCCTCACCATCATTCTCTCTCTGTTAACGTTTCGGTCTGTCCACACATGAAAACGTGCTTCAAGACCAATTTTTTTGGCCACTGGTAAGTGAAATTTGATTTGTTTTCTAAATTCAAGCTGGGGCTACGGGCTAACAAGCGATGCCGTTCGACGTGCTATCCCACCGTGACGTTGTTCTGTTCAAAATTAAACGAGTCCCAGCTTATCATGAACCACGTCTGTGCGAGACAGTTCTTTAGGTTATGAGTGTTTTGACGCCGTGGTTTTCAAACTGTTTTATTAATTTCTTGAATGTCGTACTGTTTGTACAACTACTGCTCGTACTTAAGATCTGTGTTTGAATCTGTTTGTGTGAAAAATCGTATTGTGATTGTCAAAATTTAATTAAGTGTATTTTGAATTTCCTACATAACATCAATATCTTGTACTGTTTTAGGTACAAACTCTTGAATTCGTGTTGTTTCGTCGAATTAGAAAGACAAAATGCCTGTAAGTATTTATCATAAGTTATGCAAAGAAGTTAGTAAATTACTAAAATATTGTATTTCTTTTCTACATATAGTTAGCTAAAGACTTGCTTCATCCTACTGCTATTGAAGAGCGTAGGAAACACAAGTTAAAGCGACTTGTCCAACACCCAAATTCTTTCTTTATGGATGTTAAATGCCCTGGATGTTATAAAATTACAACTGTATTCAGTCACGCTCAAAGCGTAGTAATATGTACCGGATGTTCCACAATTTTATGTCAGCCCACAGGAGGACGAGCTAGATTAACTGAAGGTAATCTAATTTTCTTAATCATTAGTTTATGACATTATTTACCTAAACTATTCATCTATGTATAGGTATATTTTTCAAGTTAGTAATATTTTATTGACCGGAGTATGGTGAATTTAATTTCAAAAATTTATTCTAACTTCTACCTAATTCTTAGTCATATATAAAGCATTTTATTAATGTTAAATTTTTTAATCATAAATTAATTATTTTATTTGGTAAATTATATATATTTTTTATGTTCAATTTGTTATCTAATTTTGATTGATGTTCATCATGCTTATGCTTATTATGTTTATCATGCTTGTTACTTTTTTTGAGTTATTTGAAACATCTATTACAAAAATAATAACTTTCACTCATTTGAGTTGTAAATTATTGATTTTATAAGTCTTGTTATAATAATTATTATTATTCTAATATATATTCAAAAGTTTCTGTCTACATAATAGTTTTCAAAATTTTGAAATTTTTCTTTAAATAACTATTTTTTAAGAATTTCTTAGTTGATGTTCGTTATGATTGGAATATGAATATTATTTTTTAATATTAGGTTGTATTTTACCATAAATTAATTTCAATAAGACATGGTTGTTGTTATCATAGTATTTATGAATTCAAAGATATTTATTAATTTACATTTTATACAAACATTTCTTAGTAAAAATATTTTTTTTAGTTGATAAAAGAATTTATGTTTAAATTATAATTCTCATGAATGAAATACTTTACTATCTTCAAACAAACTTTTAAAGTCATAGCTTTCTAATGTCATTTTTATAATAAAGAATTTGTATTTTTAAACATCTAAAATGAGAATACCTAGGAGAAAGATTTTGATATAATGAATGAAAATTTGTTTTTTATCTGTTTTATTAATTAAAATTTGGTGTATTCTACATACAATTGACACTTTTTTTTTTTTTTTTATTAAAGCCAGTTTTTCAATCTAATATTACTATAGATAGTATGAGTTATTTGACACATAAGAAAAAAACTAAAATAATCAGCTTTTCAATATCTGAATAAGCCGTAATTAACAAATAAATCATAACTAAGTTTATCAGAACTTTCTTGGCCATATAGCTAGTTATCGATAAATAAATGTTTTATTATATATTTATTATTAATTGACAATGGTATTCATAATTTTTAGCGATGAAGTAATATTTTTATAGACATTAAGTAATATACTATATCTAATGTTGCATTATTCATTAGTTGAATCTATTCATTTTAATATATACATACTTAAACAAATTGTTTGAAATTAAATTTAAAAAATCTGAAAATAGTCAATCTTTAAAAATTAATATAATTTGAAATATCATTAATTTATTCAAATAATGTGGTGCTTTTTATAAAAATAATCATTTTGTATGTAAGTATTAACTGTTAATACTTATGCAAATGATCTTATTAACAATTTATGTATCAAATTATACATTAGATAATCTTTCGACTGAAAGCTGAATAATTTCAAATAATTGTTTCTCTATTTTATTTATATTTACATAATTATTTTTTAATACTTATTTAAGTTCTAAGTTTACCGTTTATTACATATATTGTTATTTATCTTATAGAATAGTCATTTTCATTAATTATAATTTTATGTTTCAGGTTGTTCTTTCAGGAAGAAAGCTTACTAAGATCCAGGCTCCCGTATTTTAATGTACAATATATGCGTTGAATAATAAAACCATAAAAAAAAATTTAATTTTTACTCAAATTATTATTTTTTTATTCATTGAAACCTTTTTGATAAAGATAATATATATATGCATTTATTGTTTAATAAAAATAACTTAGAATACACATTTCATTAATGTTAACTTCTGTAAACAATTGTGTATTGGAAAGTTGAAGTTTGTAGTGTGTTTAAATGAAATATCTGGATTCCTTTGAAGACGAATTTATAATCATATCTTAGACAAGTTTAAAATAAAAATAGTTTTCAAATTAGTAAGTATACAGTAAAGTCTTGATAATCTCGTTCTATTAGTAATCTAACTATAACTTAATTTTTAATTATCTATTTATACATGTTTTTTGGAACATTTTGTCATACATTCATGTTTTATAATTTGTGTATTAATACTTGATATCAATTGTATTGAAAATGGATTTTAATTTTTATCCTATATCTGTTTAAATATCTATTTATTTTTTTTTGATAATCTAGTACAGTGTTTCTCAACCTTTTTTGCTATAGGGTCCCTTAAATTTAATTTAAAACTGTTAAGGCTCCCCTCAATCATAATCATTAATTACTTATTGTTAATTATATACTAAATTTCCATGCACTAATTCACACAAATAAATTATTAAAATGTAAAGAAGATGTTTTTCAATATGTTTTTGAAATGTAATCTTATATTTGTATAAAAAAAAATTTATAATTATTAATGTGATGGTTAGGCTTACATAACATTTTCACATCAAATATTTATGTCAGATGTGATATTTGAAACTGAAATACAGAAGTTTGCTTCTAAAGACTTGTGAAATTCATGATCTATGCTTTTTTATAATTTGAATTTGTGAAAATGCTGTTTCACAAAGATATGTCCATGTGAAAGGTATTAATATAAGTATAACTGCTTTCGTAATTACAGGATACTCTTGTTGTTGTCTTAACCAAAATGTAAGTTCTTTTTCATTAAATTCGGTTTCAAGAGTTAAATTTAATGAATATTTCACAGCCCACCAATTATATAACCACTATCCCTAGGTTGAGAAGCACTGATCTAGTACAATGGTTCTATATATGTTAGAATATCAAGACTACTGTAGTTAATCAATTTAAAATTACAAAGTTTTTGTAAAAATATCTTTAATAGTGTCTTTTCTTTTATCTCTCATTAAAAATTGGCATATTATCTATACTATCACCCCTAGCCAAGTTTAATTAGACGAATAACATTTTTAGTATATGAAGTGTATTTGAAATAAATAATTTATTAATCTCATTAATAATATTTTCATATTTTTCTTTTTAAAAAAAATAAGACAAATTATTTAAGAAGTTTTGACTAATTATTCATTATCTAGTGAATTAATTATTTTTATTTAGTCTAAGAATTAATTCTCATAGTAATGTTTTAATGATATGTAGTAGTTTTAAAAAAAAATTTAAGATTAGTTTCCAACTTATATAAACATCAAGTATGTAAATTACCTATATTAGTAATGAGAAAAGAATATATTTTATCTAAAATGTGTAATGAATATCATCCACATGTACTGTATTTGACCAAACCAAATTATTATTTTACTGACAGCACATTTTTATTAGTTCTTACTACTTTAAAACCCTCTTAGGTGTGAAACGAACTATTTGGTATACAACAATTTTCCCTTGATTAAAACCTCATGTCAATGTATTTATTTTTGCTTTTATTGTACACACAATTTATTTTGGTAGAGTTATGAATTGGAAAAAAAAACCACTAAATGTATGCACTTTAGTTATTATTTCACAGCCATAATTTTTCATTTAAAAAATAACTGAACTGGAATAAATATACATTTTACACATGAACTCGTACATTGATCCCTTAAGGTATAACACTTTTTCATTGATATACTATATGAGAATTAGTTGTTGGGAAGTTCATTAATTTCCTATTAACGTTGAAAGGTATACCTAAATCGTTAAAAGCCACTAATCTTACTCATGAAACTCAACGGCTTTAATTTAATATTCGAGCACACGTAAAAGTCTTTATTAATAACATCGAGCATGTAGTAAATCGTTCACCAAACAACCGTTAAGTTTTTCGAACTGTGAACAGCCGGACGGTAGTTCGTTGAGGCGGTCGGATGCATCGTATCTGTTTTAGGGGTACAACGTCTGGAGAACGTTTGAAAATAATTCGAAATTGAGCGGCCGGACGATGAGCCCCACGAAATCCTTTATATTCTTGGACGGATGATAGGGGGGGGACAACGAATCACATACGTAAGGATTCACGTCCTTGTGCTCACGGTCCCAAGCGAGTAGTTACCCCGCGGGCGCCGGACGAGTTCGGTCAAGGAGACAGTGCCACCAACTGCGAGCGCGGTCCGGTCGTAAAGCCCTACGGGGCGCACCGTAGACCCGAACACAGTGGCCGACCGTATTCGTACGCCACGCTGATAACGCGCTTTGTTTACGTTTTTCCGTATCAATTTTTCGCGCTGATAAAAAAATAAAAATAATAAATTACAAATGTTAACTTGATAGTTGATATTACAATATATGTATATATTTTTACATATAAATAATATATATGCATACATGTACACAATTTTCGGTCACAAAAAATCGCGGATTCCGTCCAGCGTTGCAGTTCCGCTTTAACCGTCAATAACGTCGGCCAGTGACACGCAACGGCACACCATCGCCCTCAACCGATGTTGAGCATCGTCCGGGCACCGCCGAGCACCGACTGCTGAAAGTGGTGATCGCGCCGACAGTTGATGTACAGTGAACGGGATCCGTGTGCGCTGCGGATATCGTATTTCTATGCCGACTACGTTCGACCGTCGACTAAATCATAATTGGTGGTGAGTACGGCGTCACGCGCTTTTCGCCATCCGTTGGCACAGTAGCTGTCCGTCGGTCCTGGTTCAGGCACATCGTTTTTGAATCCGCGGACAAAACCTTATCACTGTGTGTTGCACTTGCACTTCTGCCTCGTGCATTTCCTTTTTTCTAAATTCTTTCTCATGTTCGTGTTCAACCGACTGACTGCCCTGTACATCGATCATTCACCACCATCGGCTCCATCATTCTATTGTTCAAGCACACATCCCATTGTTTCGTACGGTCTACCGTGTGACAATGAGCTAGTCGTCACATTAATTGTATTGTTTGTTCACAGACAACGGAATGCGGTAACCAGGTAAAATAACCAAATCGTGAAAGCAATGCAGAATGTATTTTCCCGGGACATGTTTTCTATGGGTCCATTTGACGGTGGAGTCAAATGTAATGGACATGTTCAGTTGCCTGGACGTACGACAAAAAAAGACCGCAAGGGGTGTAAAAAGGAAAAAATTGAAACTGTATTGAAGAATCGGCTGATTACTTCTCCGAAATCTAATAAAACACCTTCGCTTAAATCATCTAAAATGAATCTAAAAACTAAAAACCAAGTCATTAGGCAGATTATTAGTGAATCAGAAGAAAACATGTCTTTAGATTCTGCGGTTAATAAACAGAATCTTAAAGAAGATGTGAAGATGTTTAAAGAGCTCGTGTACAGTAGTACATCTCCAACACTACCTTCAATTGATGTCCAAGAAAAAGTTGAAGATCGTTTGCCTACCATGACTGAAGTTACACCCAAAAAAATTACAGCCAAAAAACGAAATAAAAATAAGGCTGAAAAAAATGGTTTGAGTGTGAATAAAATACCTGATAAAATAGATCCTTCTTGTATTAATGATAAGAATCAGTTAAGTTGTAATGTAATTACTATTCCACCTAAAAGAAAGTATGCCAAGTTGACTAATTGGCAAAAAGATTGTGGCACCCGACATGAAACATTGCAAAGGATACTAAAGGAATTTGAAAAAGAAGCCAAGTTAAGAGAAGATCTTTATCATTTTGGTAATATATATAAACAAACAATTTTTTTTTTTAATAATTTATGTTTTAAAACTATTGTTTCAGTATAAATTTGTTTGTTTGAATTTTTTATTTTATAGATTTACTATCATCTGATGAGGACACTGATAACCCATTAAATTTGGAGTTTGAGGATGCTCCATATCAACGATTCTGGTTACCTTCCGATCGAATTGAACCTACTGATCGAGATGCCAAAGTTAAAAATTTGCGATCAATACTTCGACGAAGGTTTCATCAACTATCTAATCTTCCTGATAACTCACCATCACCTGATTTAGTATTGGCATTGACAGACGCTGCAAGGCATGATACTGTTTTAATTAACAATTTAATTTGTCCAGAATCTAGTTCTAAATCTAAACTCAAGAGGTTAGTCATTTGTATTACAGTTATATTTAATGTGTATATTTTCTTATTTTTTATATTTTTACATATGCCTAAATTATCTATCATTGAATTGTTACATTAACTTATCATAATTTTATAAACCAGTTTAACAATGTTAGTAATTATTTATTTTTTCTTTATAGAAACGATGGTATAGTTACGGTACAACAGAAATGCTGTTTGGAAATATGTCCATACCCTGCTATTCCATGTACGCGTCATTGTTTTAGACATATTCTAAGGAACGTTGATCAACTCCTTTTTGAACATTGTTCTGCTCGAACTAATCAAGGTCGGTGTACAAATGCTGTATTTAATGTTTGTAATGTGCAACCTTTATGCTTTGAACATTTATACTCAAAAGAAACAGTAATTCAAGTGAGTGGAGATAAAAAATACAGATCACTAATATATCTATATCTATTATTTATACAATTAATTGTAGGCCGAAGAAATACCTGCTACTAAGTCAAAACCTCGCAAAAGGCCTAAAAATGCGCCATTTAACAAACTATCAAAACGCAATAAAAAGAAAAAACAACTGCCTAAACACCCTCTTGAACCCCCACCATACACAGAGGCAATTCAACCTAATACTATTGAGCCAATTACTTGTACGAACGAGTTGCCACAAAATATAAATTGTGATGTTACATCACTTTATTCATCTGTAGCTAATCCTGATATTTATCTTCACCCTGGTAACATTTTATTTCATTGTAAACTTATACAATTGAAATAATTCATTAAAATATTAAATTTTAGTCTTAAATATTAACAATAAATTGTTTTTATAGTTGGTGGCAATATTATAAACAGTGAGGTTGAAGTTGGTGATGAAGTACTTGCTGGCTTAGATACAGTTGATTTAGGAAGTCATGCATCGCGGTTACTTGAAGATCACGATGATATAACAAGTGTTTTCAGTCAAATACCCGTAGATGCTTTCAATGATCTCTTTACTAGTAAGTTACTATGAATAATTTGGCATAATTATTTATGTTGATTTATAATTTTATATAATTGTATATTTTTTTTTCTGTAAAGTTGATAAAAATGGTCAGTATGTACCATCTCGTGAAGAAACAGAAGAATTAGAACGAGCTTTAGAGGCTGTTGATATGGATGTTCGATCATTGGAAAGATTGTCACAATCCCACATGGCCAATATCTTAGATCCTGCTTCTCTACTAGCAGATTTACCGATACCTCCTTTTTCCAGCTCATAGCAAATTCAAAATATTAGGAAAAATAAGGTAAAGCTTACAGCTAAGAGTTTAATTACTATTACCGTTATTAATTATTCTGAAAATTAACAATATATTATTTTTACACAAATATTTATTAAAAAAATATCATAGATTATTTGCCTTTTAGAATTAATTTGTTCTCGTACCTTTTATCTAAAGATTCTTTATTAATGTTTTTATAAACATGCCAGTAATTATTTTAATGTATAAACAAACATTTGGTATTCTAGGTGAAATGCCATTATTTATGTGAATAATTAATTTATGATTGATTGTATATTTTACAAATTAAATAAAAGAACATTAAATGAAAAAAATGTGGGTGCCACTTATTAGAGTATAAGACCTATAAGACTAACTTAAAATGTTCAGTTGCTTTTAAGAATCTCCCTGAACAGTCCAGAAGTATTCAAAATCATTAAAAGAAAATCTGTTATAAGAATTAAATTTTAATTAAGAACCCTTCTAATTTCTCAAAAAAATTGTTAGAAAATACAGTCATTTTCTATATAATTTTTAAAAAGACGTTCCAAAGGCTCTTCTAGAAGTGTTGAGGAGTACTGTATATCACCAATGTGGTTCTAATATAAGTATGAGTACAAGCACACTGCAATAATCAATAGTAAAGAAAAAAAAAAACAACTAATATACTCTTATATGTTGGTTCTTAAGTTAATCTTACAACCGGCTTTCACTAAAGTAATATAATTCACAAGAAATTAACTATTGACCTGTTTTTTACCTTACAGTGTTTATTATATAGTATTTATTATTTTATAGTTAAATTATTAATTTACAATTAATATTAAATTATACATTGTTAATATGTTTTATATGTCAGGGTGGATAACTGGCGGCCTGCAAGCTTTTTTTATTTGGCTCGTGCTATATTTTTAAATTACATCATACAATTTTAAAGTTTATCGTCTATACTCTTACTTATTGATATAATAATTGTTATATAGTATTAAACATTGTTAAATGTCTAAATGTCATATGTATGTATAAGTATAGTTTTTTGTATAGCTATTCGTATCGAACTATTTAGTTTCTTCTTATCATTCCTATCGTGCTATCGTGTAGGTAAATTTATTAAATTTATTATTACCGTGTATATAAATGCTAATTAAAATTCATATTCTGAATGATCTTTATTTTATTTTTTATGTTCTGGTCCGCTAGATTTTAATTTTCTAAAAATTGATTCACTAGTAACTTTGAGTTGCCCATAACTGTTATAGATCTTAAAATTAAAAGTACAATATCAAAGAAAATGTATTAAGTGATGACCCTAGTTTTTACATTCTCCTATTTTTAATTAAAACAATTTAACTACAAATTAAAGTAATTAACTTCAACCATTGTATTCATAATATTATATAACAAATGGTCCAACTGTTATAACTGTTATAAATGTTAATACTTTTTTTTTTAATCAAAAATTACATATTTATTATTTCTGATGTTCCAATAATCTTTACATATAAGATAATTTATGTCATTATATAGGGCAGCAGTTTTCAAACAGTGAGTCTCACTGCCTTTGGGACACACAAACACTTATTAGGCAAGGCAAATATTTATAATATATATTACACTATCATATTTTTATTTTTAGATTAACAATAGTTTGTTTTATTTTAAATAAAAATATGTTGTTTTATTATTCATGGGAGGTGCAATTAAATTTTTTTGTTTTTGGGATGCGTGATCCAAAAAATTGTAGGAACCACTGATTTTATGCATCATATATTTAAACTGTTGAGAGCTAAGTCCTCCTAAAACTGTAAATTTTCTTATCTGAAAATAATTACATACATTAAAAACACTTTGAATTGTATATATTGTTCATAATTTATTTAAATTCATCTAAATGTAGATGCTATTTGTGCCTATTTATGAACACTTATTTTTACTTTGGTAACTTAAAGGTATACGGGTATTCTTGTTAAAATATTATTAACATTCTAAATTTTATTTCAATTAGGAATTGAATTTTAATGTGTATTATCATAATTTAAGAATCAATTATTCTAATTTATTATTTTAATGAAACACAATAAAATATGTTGTATTTTTACATTTTCAATAACAACACTGTCATCATTTATGATTTACACTGATTCATACATTAATCTGACAATATATTTTTACTTAAAGGTATTGTTTACCATTTTAATATTTCATTGAGTCTGCTTAAATAATTTAATTAACATTCATGGTGTGCAAATTTTTATTTTATAGCATTATTAAGCATAATTTATTTAATATTTTACATTGTATTTACTAAGTACTAAAAAGATTATTTTATATTTATATGATATTAAGAAAATATGAATTTATGAATAACTATTTTATAATTTTTGTATAGGTTCCAGTTTAATAATAATTTATTATTATGTAACGCTAATTGTTTAAAACAAAACTATAATGAATTTGTATAGGTAAAGATTAAAACCATTAATTTTTTTTTAATCTAAACCTTTACTCATATACAAATTAAATTATACATAATTTATTGTTTGGTTAATTTAATTTCAAATGGAACTGCTTTTTATTTAACTATAAAATAATTTTATAATTTTAAACTGTTAAATATTTTTTTGTATTAATTTATGAAAAAAATGTATTTAAATATTAAATAAATGTTTTAGTAATATTTATTTGTAACAGAAATAAAGCTTATGACTATATTTTTGTACAATTTAAAAAATTATCTAAATTGAAAATAATAATGTTTAAAAAAAAATAACCTTATCATTTATACAAGTATTTTCTTTAATTATATACATCTCTAAATTGTGTTCTTGAAAATTGTATCGTCTGTTACTTAAAATATGTTTATATAATGAAAAAGTACGTTCAATGTCAATACTTGTTATCAATGCATATTTAAAAATAGTTTAAAAAATTGGGTGTTATATCTAAATAAACATTTTGATTTCCTGTCAGTATTTCAGAGTATAGTTTTATATCTTTCATTTTTTTCTAATACATATTTTAATTTATCTTTAACTAGTTTTCCATTGAGACCAGGAATATTTATAGAAATATTTATACTAAATTTTTTTTATTTAGTTAGTATTTGTTTAGTATTTATTTATTTATTGATTTAATACTTATACTAATTATGTTTATACTATTAAGTAATTGACTATTTTATTCTTCTAAACTTGTGAGTTTTGTGGATAATTCAGATAAATATAATTTTAAAAATCCTAAACTGCATTTAACTACTTAAAAAAATTTACGTCGTAGTTATATTTTTTTTTGTAAAATCACTTTGGAAATAATAATTTGTATATTTTATCACGTGAAGTATACAAAATACAAATAATTGTAAAAAATTGCATAATTAAATTAAATAGGAAGACTATAGTTAATCTGACTCATATATATATTTGATTAGATTTGATTTACTGGGTATCAATAAAAAATTGCAATATCGATTAAATCCGCTCTTTAATTATAAGATAATGATTAGGAAAATCCATTTCATATGTGTTTTCAAATTTTAAAAACAGTAATTTTGTATTAATATTTGTAATAAATTAGTCTTATTAATAAAGAGTTAAGTTGTTTAAATTGTTATGTATTGTCATTGTGTTACAAAAATATATTGGCTGTGTACATAAAGATTTGAAAAATAATTTATTACTTTCCACTGATTGTTAAAAAAAATTAAACTATTATTTATTTTTTCAGATAAGAGACTTCACAGGTGCACAGATTAGTGAGAAGATAATTAAAATTAATTAATAATATTAATAATTAAATAAATGAAAATGTTAAAAAAATTAGTTATTTACTTATGACGAGGCAGTGTTAGTGTATAATTATAAAATAATATTTTGACAACTGACTGGTAAGTGAGCAATATCCAATTTTACACAAGTAAAAAGTTGCTAAATGGCTTTGTAGATTATAGAAGTCGTGTTACATTTTTATATAAGAAAAACCTTCATAAATTAATTTAACGACTAATAATTATACTACAAGTGTTATACATTGTATATTTAAAAATGTAATGTATCTGAAATGATAATAATTTTTTTACTCAACAATTTCGCAAGACTTAACAAACTGGCAGCCGATATTAAACTTTATTTTTTGCAATTAATATTGTTTAATTTCTTTAATTATTCTATGTGTAATAATAATCAATAATTAATGCAAATATTTCGTTTATACCAGTTGCACATTCCACTTGCGACTGTACATTATTTTTTTTTTTTTTTTATAATTGTCAATACTTAACATAATTTATTACTATTATTTATATTTTGTATCGTTTAAGTGAACTCTTCCACAATCTTGTAAATATTGGAACGTGGTAACTTTTGCATTTTATTTTCTTCTTTGTGTATGTTCTTTTTTTTTTTTTACATATATATATATTATATATATTTGTGAACAAACATTTTAACTAGTAGGACATAACTTTGTTTTTATTTGTAATATGTATGTACAATAAAAATTAAAAAAAACATTAATTATGTACTTATGCGTATACTTATTTTATTTTTGTTACGATATTTGCACTGTATGCACGGTTTTCACACGTCTCCAGTAGTAAACATTCTCCTTGTTGTCGTTGTCGCAGGATCCGCTCATTGTTCCAGCTCTTTGAAATATTTGTAGGCGATTGAAAAATCCCTATCGCCCCAACCCTTTTCCGCTATCCGCTGGTACAGATCTACGGTCTGCTTCGTCAACGGCGTGGGCGCGTGGGACGCTTCGGCGAGTGACTTGCCCAAGTTCATATCTTTCAGCAGCAAGTTGGACTTGAAACCGTTCTGTGCGGATGAGAAAAAAATATATAGATGAATAACTTGTGTTCTCCCCTTCGCTGTACAGTTTCGCGTGACCCTGGTACCAGTGGGGTTTTTACGGGGGGGATCAAAGGGATCAATCCTCCCCTCATAGGATGTATACATGCAAATAATTATAGTCATCATGTTATCTAAAATATATATTTATATAAATATATATGACTATAATTATTTGTATTTGTATTTATATTAAATATTTGTATTTTATATATTTATCAATAATAATTATTGATTACATTTGCAAAAATTAAAATATTACTATATATTGTATAATATTCTCATCGGTATCGCTGGTCACTGGTCTGTCAGTGATCACACCGGGTTTATGCGGTCCGTATTATAGAACAAGGACGTAATGGCATATCTATTCTTATATTATTTATGTGTATGGCGGATATAGATACCATAGTACCTAATCACCACGGTTTAAAATATACATTACTATTTATGAAACTTAGGGGGGGCGTATCCCCCCTCAAGTTTTTAATTACATTATAAAGTCATATCCCCCTATGAAAAAAACTTAAATACGCCACTGCCTGGCGTGAGAGATGTAACAGAGCATAATCTGCACATCGTATGATATAAAACGGAAGATTTCTTACACTACTATTTTTTTTAATTTTTTTATTTTTTATTGCATACGGCATAGTATTGGTGTACAAAATAAAACAAAAAGTAATGACGAAATAGAATAAAATAAAATAAAAGAAAAGTGATAACGGATTAATATAGATAAACTAATAAATAAATAAACAAGCTACAATGTAACAACTATAAAATGCTATAAGCGTATATGGTAAGGTTACGCATCCAATCTAGCGTTTCCTTATCGCCTTTGTGTAAACCTGATGTTCCTCCTCTGAATTTTGTTTCCGGACATTCTTCAACAATGTGCCTAATAGTTTGGATCTGACTACAGTTACAGAGCGGGGAGTCCAACATTCCCCATTTGTGCATCAAATAATTGCACCTTCCCTGTCCAGTTCTTATGCCGTTTAAGGCAGTCTATGCTACACGGGAAAATTCGAAACCTGGAACCAATTGGGTCGGATCACTTATGAGATTGTTATTTGGTACTACTCAATCCTTCCAATGTGAATTCCATAAGTCCCCTTCTGTGTTAGTACTTTTTTTTAACGTCCATATAAGCTTCCTAGATTTTAGTCTTTTGTTTGGTGCGTTATACAAGTCATCATGGATTGGAAGGCTTGGAAAGTTTTGTATTTTCTCAACCATCTTAAGCTGCTGCTCTGTGCCTACGCACTTCTGATGGGGTTATATGTGAGATTACTGGTAGCCATTCTAACTTAGTTGATCTGACACATCCTGATATAATTCCTAGCCCATACTGGGGCGCAGTATTTTGCAACGCTGTAAACTAATGCCAAGGATGAAATTCGAAGGACGTTTGCCCTACATCCCCAGCTTGTTCCGGCCAGTTTATTGATGATATTATTTTGTGTTTTTAACTTGTCTTTTACCCCTTCTAGGTGTTATTTAAAAGTTAATGATCTGTTAAGCTTAATGCATAGGTACTCTGGTGCATTTTTTGTCGGTATAAAATTACCATCCACAACTAGATTTGATTTCCTGTTCGCTTCTCTATTGCTTAGGTGGAAAACCATGGAGGTTGACTTACTCGGGTTAAGAGTGATATGCCAGGATTTAAAGAAATTGTGTACTCTAGAAAGGTCTTTGTTCAATAAATATTCCACCTCTTCGAATGTTCCCGCTTAGGCTATTAGACCTACGTCGTCTGCGTATATAAATTTCCTTGATATACACTACTATTTTTAAATGGCTCATAGATTCCTGTGCGAGCCTTAATAACTGAACTTGTTATTGTTACCTAGTGATTTTATAACTATATTTAGAGTTAAAAAAATAGCAAACAATGTAATAAATAAATTCAAAGTTTTTGCAAAAATCAAGTGTTTATTTGCCACTTTTACTTTGTTACATATTGAAATATGTTTATTTACATTATTCAAACGGTTCTTTTTTAAACACACTGCTGTACAAAGTCAAGTAAATAGAAATTGATTTGCTTTTTACAGTAATAATTGTGTACTATAATATCAATTTTCTTCATTTATACCTCGTATTTTGTCGCCATCTAAATCACTAAAAAAAAAAAATCTTTGAATGTATTCCACGCCGTTGAATATTATTTTCTAATTATCACAAAAATGTGTTGCTGAAGTGACCAGTTACTTAATATTACTCCTTCAAATTTTCAATTATTGAAATAGCTGATTGTAATCATTCACAATCATTATAAAGGTTAGAATTAATCAATTGTAATTGTTTAGGTACTACAAAAAATACTGTCGTAGTGCCGTACTATGATACTATATGTACACATAGTACCGGATTAAGGGTTGATGTTGCCCTGGAGAAAATAATTTTTGCCCCCCTCCCCCTCAAATAAATAAAGTTTAAGTGAAACCCAAAAAAAAAAAGTTCCTAGTTTCTATGTATAAATTGAAAAAATATAATACTATTATAAAATATAGGTACCTAATATAATAATTAATTTACATAACTAAAAAGTATAAATAGGTATATGTTTAATATCACAAAATTGTTTTGAGAAGAATTTTTTTAAACTAAAATACCAACAAAATATAATTATAATATTAATAAATTAGTTCAAAATATACAGATAATAATTAAAGTAATTTTTAATATTAACATCAATTAAAAAAAAAAAAAACTATAATCATATAACTATGTATATATTAAATATTATTTTTTTTTTTATAATATTATTTATTTTTCTTTAATTATATTTTTTTATAGATTTAATAGTTGTAAGTTTTTATGTTTTTCTCATTTCATTTCCTCAATCAAATCAGATTATATGCATAAAATTGATAAATTGGACATTTTTTCTTGTATTAATGATGATGTTAAATAATTTTTTTAGGCTATTTTATCTAATGCCACCCCACTAAATTTGCCGCCCTGGAGTAAATACTCCTTTTTCACCTAGGTTAATCCGGCCCTGTGTACACTATGTGGCTGAACATAGTATGTAATGAGAATTTTCGTTGTCTTTTATTTTTCCATTCCTGTATCTAATTGTATACTGCCTGCTCTCAAATTAACACTCTAGAATTCTATAACTTTCGAGGTACTACATTTTTCTAAACACAAGCCCCTCGAAGGTGCTGAGCACCTCCGATCATCCCTTCCGTTATTTGCGGCATCGTGCTCCTCGAGTACGATTAAACGATAATATTCCGACGTACGATGTGCCCTAAGACGAATTGTTTTTTTCTTAATTATTAAATTTTAATCGTTTCAACAAAATCTTTGTTTTTATAATGTATTCGAGACGAATTGTCGTCGCGTACCTGATAATTGTCGTTGCTGGGACTCTTCTCGATTGCTCCGGGCACGGGATTGTTGATCTCTGACGCCCAACACCTACCGGAGCTCGTGTTGATCACGGACGCCAATATCTTCGGATCCATACCTAACCTGAAAACGCACAATATTACAAATTCTACGCTAACTCATGCAACACAATGTAAAGTTTGTTGGACAAGCACGGGCACGATGCGTAAAAAAAAAACAAAAATGAAGTTTAGATCCGTTTAACTACGGATAATATATTATATTCTATGTCTGGGTCGCGCACAACTAATATAATTGTAATACTAATAATTATTATGAGAAATTTTATAAGTCAATAGAATTATATATTTTTTTTAACACATTAATATTATTAAAATATAAACATTATTTTACATTTATACCTATAGTACGTACCGGTATGTACATTATATCAACAAAAAAGTACTTCGGAGACGTAAAAAAGGCTTTCTCTGCGTAGGTTGAAGCTATTGGGAGAAAAGATGGAATTTTTATGTTAATAAGGAAGCGAAATCAAACTAAAAATGCTGTATCAAAAAAGCCCGTGGTTGAAAAAGTAGAATTTGGAGCTTAATAAATAAATTAAATCAATACTCAAATTCTGTGCCTCAACTTGAAAAAATATAAATTCACAAAAATTTCAAGATGTTCAACCATACAAACTTAATGTATAATAGTCACGCTATCGGATCAAGTTGTTTAATATTTGTGTGGTGTTTCTTCTCGGTGTTTCTTACGCACAGAAAGGAGTCTCTAGCGAGACTCTTCGATATTATATGTATATAAAAATGCTATGGGGGGGAAGGTTGACTTTATTTTCACCCCCCGCCCCATGATCATCATATACGACCGCTACTGGAATATGATTCATTCACCAAGCGTGAATGCTGTCTTTATTTACTATAATTATTTATTATTAATAATATTTTTTTATGCTATTATTACCATCTGGGAATCCAACATCTACAAGCTGACTTGATGGTAATAAAAGTATATTTTTCATTCTTGAAGAAAATTACTTGCATAATTTTGCTAGAAAATGTTTGCTGAAGAAACTTATGTAGTGGTATTATAAAAATAATTACAATAAAAATGAAAAATGTGATATTTTCCATCAATAATTTTAATTTTAATTTTTATAAGTCTAAGCCTAGAGAATAGATCCATTGTTATTAAAAATCAAAAAAAAAAATTCCTAAATTGGTGATTAAATTAAAGTGTACTGGCTGAAAAGGGATAGCCGAAAGGGAAACGGCTCGTTTTGGTCAAAAGGGCCCACCGTTCGTTGACCAGCACTCATTTATTCCCTTTTTATTTGCTGTTTTATTAGTGTCTATATTTATAAAACGTTGTCGCTCAACGGTAATAATATAATTAGTCGTTCAAGTCGACACAGAGTTTGGGAGCGTTGGGAAGAGACGATTACAAATCATTGTTAGGAAACAAGAATTTGGGACAAAGGACATGGTAAAGAGAATGACATGAGGGGTAGGAGGGTCAAGTGGTTTGTGACTGGTGTCGGTTGTTCGGTAACCGAAGTAACGCCATGGCATGTAAGATAGTGAAAAAGGGATGACCCGGAGAGAGAAAGGGGTGGCCAGTAGACGAGGAAATGGTGGCGGCGTTAATTCGTTTCCGGTTAAATTAGGTTAATAGTTAGTACGCACTTCACGCCCAGATTCATCGCTTCGGCCACAGCCACCATGGTCATGCCGAGGATCATGTTGTTGCTGATCTTGGCGATTAGCCCCGATCCAGCCGGACCGCAGTACACGCACCTGGACCCCATGGACGCGAATAGCTGCTCGGCTTCTTTCAGCGTGCTCTCATCGCCGCCTACCATGAACGTCAGTGTACCATTCTCCGCGCCCACCACTCCTGCGACAACAAAAACGATTGTTAGTAGTAATAGATTCAGGGACGTTCCAAGGTTTTTCGGGGCCAAGGGCAAATTAATTTTGGGGCCCTCGGCCATAATTATAAGATATGTTAATGAAAATACTCACTAAGAATAACAAAATTCTTGTAAACATATTTGTCCAAACCTTATACAATCAAGCTCATTTTAATTCATGTACTGCATTACATACTTATATAATTGAATATTATTCCTATTATTTATAATTTAATCACTCAATATAAAGACAAGTTGTTACACGCAGCGTGTAAAATTGCTCAGTGTAATCGAGGCCATATAATTAATTATTATACATCAAGATTTTATGAGGGTCCCTTAAAAAATATTCCAACAATGGGGCCTGGAGCAAAATGGTTCCGTTGTCCCCCCCCCTTCTGAATGACACTGAACACACTTTCCATGGTATTAATGATTCAATTAATAAATTTAATTTGTACAAATGATAACTGTATGAAACTATTTTTTAAATACATTTTTCGAAAATTTCACCGCATACTGCTTGACTCCAAATATAATGTTCAATAATGACTCCACATTTATTTTTTTATTTAATAACTGCAATTTACTTTTATTTTTCCAATTCGAGCTCTGGACTTGGTAAAACATACTGCCATACTGGTGTTTCTAAACATCATAGTGATCGCGATAGCGGAATTTTAAACGGAATTTTTTTCAACGATTTCGTCGCCTTTTTAAACCTTCGTTATATTTTATCCGTATATCATTTATTATCAAACGATAATCCCAAAAAATGTGTTGAGTAAAGTATTGTACGCGCGTAATTCGCGGTTTTGCGCTACGTACCTCCTGACACTGGGGCTCCTAGGAACTTGCATCCTTTCCGCTCGGCCATGTCAGACACTTTCTTTGAACTCTCAGGACTGATCGTGCTGCAGTCCACGAATATCTGATCCGTTTTCGAGGACCTGTATGTAAGCGAAAACAAAACCAAAAAGTTACGGTTGTACAATAAATGCGTATTGGACGCGTAGTTAAGTGTAACACATCACCACCACAGCCAGGAAACACTTCATCTATCTGTTACATAAAAATAATTTGGTCGCGGTGTAGCGGGCGCAGCAAACAAACGTCGTAGTAATCGTTTGTATTCAACAATTTTTAGACATTGGCTTTCAACAATTGAAACGATTATTAGTAATTAAATCGTATGGTTGAAAACGACTGTTTTTATCAAGCAAAATGCTTACGATTACAGAGATTTCTGGTAGCCACAATCAGTTTTAACGATAATTTAGCACGTGTGCGTATATTATAAAACCAATGATGATGTCATCAATATTTTGTGTACTTCGCATGGCGATAAGTTACGTAATCATTACTCTGTTCTGACGTTGAATCAGAACCATGTTTACAAATTTTACGCCCCAAGTCTGCCACATTTGCACATCTCTTTCCCAGAAAAAATAGATTAATTTTTTTAATACATTTTTCGATATAATTTTTTATTCAGCCTTAATTTGTTAATTACGTAGATAATGCTATTAAGAATTTTTAATTATTATTTATAATTCAATATTTACCATATAATATTTATTAATACAATATTACACCGATATACAGCGATGCCTGGCCGCCATCCTAAATGGATAAAAAATTTGGCCGCATTTTGCAAATGACCCCCTCCCCCTCCTTACCATAAATACGGTTCTGCATTAAATATTATGTATAACTACGATATATATATATATATATATATATATAGCTGCTAGTTGGGATCGAGAAAATCCAATGTCGCATTGTTCAAGTATCTAGTTAATAATAAATACCCACAGCGCGCAATACTATACATTACATCCTGACAAACTCATTTGTTTAGTACCCGGTGAAAAATGCTCGAAATTCGCGCGTGCGTTGTTAATTTTCCATTGGTAACCCACGCGACAATTTAATATTCTGAGTGCGGTATGGACATAGTGAGGGTGGGGTAGGAGGGCAGGGGCAAGTGCCTTCCCCTTTCACTTCAAACAAAATTAAATTTCTTATGCCGCACATGTAAGTTTTACGTTAAAATCGAAATATTAAATAAGATATAAATACATGAAGTCTAAAAATAGTTTAGTGAGACCGAGTGTAATCTTCACGTGTAATCGTTTTATATTCCATCGATTAGTTTATCTTCAGATTATTTGAATAAAATTATTTATTAATTTATTTATTAATATATTAATTATTTAAATTAAACGCGTCAAAGTGAAGGTTATTGAATGAAATAATTAAATTTATAAAAAAAAGGATTGTTTAAATAATGTTTTTTTGATTATTTTTTGACGAATTGAAGCTGGTGATCATTGTCTCCAAAACCGTATTGAAAAGGCAAGCGAAATGCTATCTATACATGTCCACAGATTCAAAACGAAATCATCAATATAAGTGGGACAGTAATCAAAGATGATATTATAAATGATGTCAAAAAAGAAATTGTATATTGGGATTAGATTTTTTGATAATGTAAAAAGGGGCGGAACTCTTTTCGCCCAAAAATGACCTTCCTTTTTTTGCCCACGTCCTCTTTTCGACCAAAAATGAAAAAAACAGTTTCCTCTTTTCACCCAAAAATAATTGTATTCTTTTCGCTCATGGTTTCACGTTTTACATTTTGGAAACCACTTTTTCAAAATTAATAATTTTTAAAAAATCATATTTGATATTCGATAAAATCACGTTTTTGATTGTTATTAATATAGTCAGTCGAGAAAAGTGTATAAAGGTGCCGACTCTTCTATCGAAATATATAGTTTAAAACACTTCAATAAACGTTATAATTACTTAAAAGTCATAATTAATATGAATATTTGTATTATTTTACAACAACAAAACAAACTATTTATTTAAGTAGTAACCTGATCAAATTACTTATTAGTTATTTTACATCGATAAAACTATTTTAAATACATATTTTTAACTCTTATTAAATTATTATTAATTATTATTAATAATTATATATTTTTCTATTTTTTTATTTGATTATTATATGATTTTTTTAAAAATTATTAATTTTGAGACAGTGGTTTCCAAAATGAAAAACGTGAAACCATGGGCGAAAAGAATACAATTATTTTTGTTCGAAAAGAGGACGTGGGCAAAAAGAGGAAGGTCATTTTAGGGCGAAAGGAGTACCGCCCGTAAAAAGGGCTATCAGAAAAAAAACTTTTAGGCTTCATTGAACTACATGCCATGGTTGTTATCAACATAGTTAGCGTAATAGATAATTTTATTCATAACGAAAGTCTCAATGGAATGAAGCTAGTTGGATAAGGCTATGATGGTTGCGCAACCATGGCAGGGAAGACCAACGGAATGCAAAAAATTTTATGAGAAAAATATTCACATACTTCATTTTTTTCACTGTGCATAAATTAAACTTGGTGGTCAATAGTTTAATTTGTGTTTCAGAAATACGTAACACAATTTCATTGCTAAATGATATTATAAACTTCTTTCACGAATCTTTTTTACGTAAAACATATATCTCAACCATATCAGCATTCTATGAGACACGATTGTCTCCAAAATATAGAAGCATTTCAATTTTCAAAGAAAATTTTGAGATAATATTGTACATGCTTTAGACAAATTGTAAAAAGATGGGAACACTGCAACAAAAAAAGTTGCTTTTCAATTGTATTCTGTTACAAATAAAAGTATTTTTATATTGAGCGTTATCCTCATAGCAAAATACTCTAAATTATTATAGCTTGTCGTGAATGCTCTACAACCGAAAAATCTGGATTGTCCGAAATGCTCAAATTACATTAAAAAAAAAAAATAGTAGACATAATGATAAATCATCATGAAGACGTTGAAACAGAAATTCAAAAACTCTTAACTGTTGCAAACATAACAACTATATGAGCAAAAATTAATCTTCCTAGGATTTTTATTATTCAATTTTATTTTAATTATTATTCATAAATTCCCTATCAACATCGATACCCTATCGTTGTCATTATGAGTTCTAATAATCATAAAACCACAAGTCCAACTTATAAAAACAAATACGCTGCCAAAAAACATCAACACCGTTAATTATATCAAAACCATTATCAAATCAAATGGGTCACAACTCCTTATCTGATCTCTTAGGTAATGAATACAACTGGCAAACAGTCCCAACAGAGTCAAACAAACGCATAAGATCTCCAAATAATGCCACATATCCACATTAAAAAAAAGACACAAATATTTTAATATCTCCAAACCGTTATTCTCCAATAACTCCGCTTGACGATGATTCACAAATGGTCACAGACGCTAATGATCATACGCAAACAGCTAATGATACTAAACCTCCAATCCCGCCACTAATATTTATCGCACAGGAGCTAAACTTCAATAATTTTATTATTAAAATGAACGAACTAACCAATTCCACCGGTTTTGAACGTAAAGCCACTACCAAAGGCCAAAAACTTCAAACTTTTAACTCGGATTCATACAGAGCCATTGTAAAATACCTTAAAAAAAAAAACGAGGTACCTTATCACTCTTTCCAGAACAAAAAAAAATAAACCATATAGAGAAGTTATTAAAAATCTTCACCCCACAACTGATACATCATACATAAAAAACGAACTGTCATCCCTAGGTTTTTGAGTAAAAAATATTAATAATGTACCTACGCTATGGACAATCCAAAATGCCTCTCCCGGTATTTTTCATTGACTTGGAGCCAGAATCAAACAATTCTGATATATTTCAATTAACCTCACTATGCTTCAATAAAATAAAAGTCGAAGCCCCATATGTAAAAAAAGATATTACTCAATGCCTTCGTTGTTAATCATATGGCCACATTCGTACATATTGTAACCACCTACTTAGATGCGTTCGGTTGCGACGACCCGCATGACTCATCTCTATGTATCAAAAACCGAAACGAACCCGCAAAACGCGCTCTATGCAGTGGCTCGCACCCAGCAACTTACAATGGTTGCACAGTCCATAAGAACCTCAACAAAAATCGTAAACTTCAACCTTCAAACCCCTGGCGCAAACACACCTTTAATTCCCAAGAACTAAACATCACACCCAATCTACAAAATGCAAGCTAAGCTGAATTCCCTCCTCTTCCACAAAACAATGCAGAACACACGAATAACCCACATATTAAACCCCCCTCCACTCATACTGCCTTAAGCAATATAAATGATCAACTTACCTCTTTCATAAATGAATTTAAACTACTAATTAATCTATTAATATCACTTCTCACAACAGTCATCGAAAAACTCATCAATACCAATGACTGCCCATAAATATTCCTCTCTAACCATTCTTCTATGGAACGCTAGTGGAATCACCAATAATATAAATGAACTAATATAAATGAATCGTCCTAAAAGAAAACAATGTAGACATAGCTCTCATTACGGAAACACATCTCACTACCATCTCAACATTTAAAATATTTGGTTACGACTGCCTTCAAGCAAATCACCCCGACGATTCAGCCCATACTGGTGCCGCTCTACTAATTTCTACCAAAATTCCTCACACACCTTTCTCTCCTAAATCAAACCCAAACATGCAAATAGCCGCTACATCTAAAAATATTAACTCCATACCAACTTCAATAATATAAGCATACTTTCACTCTGGAGGCCCTATTCCATCAGCAAACTTATCTCTATATCTTCAATCGCTAAATAACATATATATCATCGGTGCGGACTTCAATGCCAAACACGAAGCCTGGGGCTGTCGCTCAAAAAAGCTCGAGAGACCGTATTTTGTTCAATCTTATCACAAAAAAAAAACGATTTAAAGTCATTTCTCCACCCTCTCCAACCTACTGGCCGACCCATTCAAACAAACATCCCGACTTCCTCGACTTCTTTCTTTATAATCTACCAAACCATCTGTACACAAATATCAGAAATCTAAATGATCCAGCATCAGATCACAC